CTATATTTTTGGGACCTCTGATAAGTCTTTTTTTTCTAACCTCTGATGAAATGCCTATTTTAGGGATTATATGTTGACTTATTGGATAAATTAATCTCATCTTTCCTGATTGCCTAATAGGGATTACCAGTGTTGTTGAACACAAAGTCGAAGAAGAACTACTAGTATCAATGAACATCATTAATAGACAAGCATCAACGGCAAGAAGATAAGGCTGTATCCCTGATTCCGACTTTAATCAACAATATTGTTGCATTTTACTTTTCTAATTTTGAGCATCTTAAAATTATTTACTGTTGTTTTTTTATTTTTTTTAATAAGAGACATCTAAACTCTAGACTGGTATCACCAAGTGAGTTGTGGGCAGATTTCACCTTATTATTATCGAATAGTAAAACGGTGAAATTTCACCAATATAACGATAACAAGAAAATAGTTTAATACTACTTATCTTATCATCTTTTTTTTTGTAACATTTTAAGGATTAAACTTTTGGTATTTCGATTTAAATAAACTTAACAAATGTCAAATTATAAGTGTTTGTAAGTACCATTTTATTACTATAATGGACTCCGATCTGTTTGATAGAGACGTACATTATAAAAAGTATTATCCTTCGTTAGCTAGTTGTTGTAGAGTAAATATGACTACAGACTTAACAATTCATTATAGAGCATGTCAAAATCCAAGGTATAAACATTTTACAGAACTATAGACATCCATTTCTAACGTTTTACATATTTAACATAGCAGGAACAGGTTAATATTTGTATTTCATCATTAAACATTTAATGTAACATATCATTATATTTGTTTTTTTTTTGGGAATATATAATAATTAATTCCTATGTGGAAGCATAGTTCCTAGACGGGACCTAGAAAAACTTATACATTTATTATAAGTTAGTTTTTTTTTTTTTGTTTTTTGTTTGTTTTTTTTTTTTTTTTTTTTTTTTTTTTTTTTTGATTTTTTTTGTTTGTTCTTTTTTTTATTTTTTTTTGATTTATACTAACCTCAAATTGGGATTAAAATTTTTATGACACATGAAGTATTATGCTTAAAATACATACACTATAGTAGGATATCATGAGGTGTATTTTAATTTTTTTGCTTATAATCTTGTATACTTTCTAAAGCACAACAATTAAAGATCGATAAATACAATAATGAATGAAAAAAAACTGTCCACACAGAATGAAAATTGATGTGGCATAGCTTTTAATTTTGTTGGTGGTACAAACAAAGAAATCAATTGAACAGTTTTAATATGCACTCATGAATAATAAATTTTGAAATAATTAATGATGATAAAAAGATACATATTGTCATAGGTATAGCATTGCACAAATTCGATTTATTGTTCATTATACACCAAGGCCATTATTCAAATCATCTACCATTTCTTATCAATAATCTTGAATAATTAGTTGGGGTAATTATAAATGTTTGTTGGAGTCAAATTTATTATTGGTTGTGCTTATACTAAGGATATTAACCTTATTCTGAAATTTGACTAATTATATGAACTTTAGAAGATTCAATTAATACTAATAAAGTTATGGCTGTTTATCTTTGACATTTCAAAATTCCATCCCCGAATTTCCTTTCATGCACTTGAGTTCGAAGCCTCCAGTCGTACCCTACCACCACTTTTTGTCGATGTAGTTGCGGTGTGAGTGGAAGTTCAACCCCAAGATCCGTCTGGGAGAACAACTCCTAATGTTTGATGAATTCGACAGACCTTTATTCAATTGGATTATGGTAATTTAATTGATTATTGATAATAAAGTCCTTGTACACAAAGTCCTAGGTATGTAAAAAACCATCTCCTAGGCACGGTTTTTTTTTTTTAATGACTTTTGGGCATGCGAAAAAAGCCCAGGTTTGTAAAACCCGACCAGACTCACCCCTTATAATTAATTGGTGATGCATATTGAATTATGCATTATTGATCTCATACGGTTATCGGACTAACAATCTAAGACCTGTTTTATGACAAACACATAGGCTTTGATCGTTTGATTAAGCCTCTAAGAATTAATTATTCGAATCATATTTACTCCGTATTTGATCTAACGATGTTATTCTCACCAAGTAACAAAAAAAAAAAAATGAGTATTAAAAAAGAGATTAATGTAGATTGATGCATAGTCTTTGAAATTAAAGGAAGGAGGTTTTAAAAGGCAAAAAAAAGAATGATGCAGAGAAATGAACAAGTTTGGTGGGAATTAATGACAAATAAAAAAATAGAAACGCTAGTACTAGTAAACAGTTGAGCATTTAGTCCAAATTAGCTTTATATTTGTTAAGATTTACAAAACACCCAATTAACTCATATATACCCTTTTGTCCTCATTTTTTTAAATTTTTTGGATGACATTGCCCTTGTTATTATCATTATTTACAAAATATCATTGTACCCAGAACTAGCCACCACCGCCAGCCACGTGGACCGTCGCCGGAGGCTACCAAAAGTTGCTATAATGGCGTATGACTGGTCGTGCATCAGTGAGGCCTTTTTCAACCATGGATCATGGAAACGGCCAGATCTGGATGTTTCACGACCAAATATGTCGCAGTAAAATGACCATAGATATGGCTATGAAATGGCCAACTTTTCACAACAAATTATGTGGCTGTGAAATAGCTGGCGTTTCTCAGCCAAAGACCTAGCCACGGCCACATCTTTGGCCGTGTAACAGCCATGGCCAGATCTATGGCACTGCTGGCATCACAGCCAGATCTATGGCACTGCTGGCATCACAGCCAGATCTGTGGCACTATTGGCGGCCGCCGATGGTGGTAGCTGGTTGTTGGCAGTGGCTTGGGGTAGGTAGGAGTGTTTTTGTTACGGTTGAAATGTTTTTGGTTGTTAGGGTGTTTTTTCTAAATCTAAAAAGTAGGGGGTTAAAAAAAATTATTCAAAAAATAATAATAAAAAATACTATTCTATTAATATTTAAAAAAGAAGGCAATTTAGTAATCTATATAACATACCCACTTATTTATCCTTCGAACCAAACACATTTTTTAAACATTCCTAATAATCTTCAAAGTGATTTTTTATTATGTTAATATAATATTTACTTATAATAAAATATTATATGATCCAAATAACCTCTAAAATATACAAACAATTTTAGTCAATTTCATTATCCTCCCTGGTTCTCTAAACTGTTATAGGATTCCCTGAAAATGAAATCAAAGATTGTAATATCCAAATGAAATTGACAGAAAATGATTGATGATCCAAATTGAAATATACTGAAAGAGTCAATTATTTCAACTAAATAATTATTGATATGCAATATGCCTTCTTTCCTAATATCTACTGTATATATAATCTAGGGTTTTATTTTTTTAATAACTGGGATGTTCGGGTTAGCTTACTTATACTTCAACTGATTATCAGGTCTATTGAATATCCTATAAGTCTAATTGGGTAGACAAGTAAAAAATGTGGTTGGTGACTAGGTGGCCATTTTGCGGGACTCGAACACAAGTCATCTAGATAATCTATTCAGATGACTGAAGTCTTGCTATCAGGTCACAAGTCTAGCGATTTATAATTTAGGGTTTTAAGGGTGCCCACTTACGAATTAAAAAATTCAAATTATTATGAAAAGTAAAAAAAAAATTAACAATCAACAAAAAGCTTAATTACACCAGAAAGAAAATTAAAAAAAAAAAAAGAGAAAAAAATAGAGAAAAGAGAAAAAAAAAATGTTGAGTTACATATGCAGATTAATATACGTCAAGATCATTAACAGATGAAAAATAGATCCCACTAATATACTAAAATGTATTTTATTTGTATGAATAAAATCTAATTAAATAATCAAATTGATTTTAATATATATCTGAAAGCACGCGTTAAATAAATTTTATAATATACTAAATAAGTAGAAGAACTTCAATGATGATCATCATGGAGATGAAGAGATGTGTGGGCTCAAGTTATTTTATATTAATGGGCCCCCATTATGCAGTGTCCCAAGGAGACAATTTATTCAACAGCAATCATTTGAACTTTGGATCTTGTTAGAGTTTTTCTTTGTATTAATGTTTAATAATTATATACTAATAATTGTAAAGTTGATTTATTTTTCCCCTTAATAATCTCATGGACATTTGAGGTTTAACGATTTCTTATGAATTATTTAATATTTTTTAAAAATCGTTAAAAACATTTGAAACTTATTGATATCTTATAACAGATGAAATTGTCATAACAATAAATAAAATATACAAAATATAAAATTATTTACATAAGCACCTATGTTAAGCTGAAGAGACCTAAACTCTTATTCTCTAGTGCGGTAGNATCACATTATCATCCTGAAATTTGGTGTAAAAATACTAGTATAGTCACCCTTATATAGAGGTTTTATCGGTAAAATATCACGACATAGAAGGATAGAAATGACATTTTGAATAAACAGTTCAACATGGATAATCGTTTATCGGAAAAAAAAAAAAACAAAAATCAAGCATTTCGATTGAAACAGTCACCATATTTGGCCTAAACTTCCAACCTCCGTTTGTCCAAAACTATATATAATTTAACACACACAAAAATAATTTGGGGGTGAGATTGTTAGTTTCCCACAGTCAATGGAAAATTTTTCCATGTAAAACCTCAGAGGTGACAGTGTAATGAACATTTATTATTAAAAATCTAGCAAGGAAATTTACATGACATAAATAAAATCCTCAAGTAATTTTCACTGGTCATAGCAATAAATTTCTCCCAACTTTCTCTTCCAAATTTGATCAATAAAATGGCGAGAAATCAGCAGTCTGACTGTCTGACTCAGTTTCTGATGATGATCCCGTCAGAATAGTAATAAACAATAAGGAAACTTAGTAAAAATTTTCCAAAATTGAATTTACCCTTTTACTTCATTTCCATATTTTTGACCAAAGTCCCTGGCTTTGTCTTCTTCTCAGAAATAAAAAAAAATAATAATAATAATAAAAAGGAAATTCTCTGGCTTTATAAGCCACTAAGTTAAAAACAAAGACATCTGAATGTAAATTTCTGACAGGCAAAAGTGACTTGTCTCCGGTTTCGGTTCTGTTCTGTTCTTGGTCTCTTCAATTCTCCTCTATAAGAATCCCTCCTAAATCCACCTACAATCGGTGCAATTCTCAATCAACTTCAGGTATTATCCCAATTTCAAGAATTAATTTTGTTTATGATTTAATTTGCAGAATTTAAGATACCCTTTGGAATCTTAAGCAAAAAAGCAGATTCTGAATTCAAGTAAAGGTAGATTCTTCATTCTTGCTTTGTTGAGTGAATCTTTTTGAGTTTTGCCGGATACCCAATTGAGTAATCCTGAAAATCTATCTGGGGATTTGAAGAATCCTCAAAATGTTTATAAAGTTGGGATTTTTATGGTTTCAGGAACAAACTATAAATGGAGAATAGGTATGGCTACTTCAGGCAAGGAAGTGGAGTATGGAAATCATTCACCGATGGAGATTTTGAAGAAGAAGAAGTGTGGGCTGTGATCAAAGAAAGAAGAGATTCATCAGCACCCTCTTCTAAAGTAAGCCAATTTATAAATAATTCTGAGTTCGAACCTTCATTTTCCGTTCAACGGCGCCTCCCTTCTGCGGCGAGAATGGTCCCGAAAACAAGTGGCAATGGCAGCAGCACCAGTGGCTCTAGCAACAGCAACAGCCCGGCGGTAGTCACAAAGCTTCAATCGGCTCCTGTGAAAATCCCTGATTGGTCAAAGTTTAATAGCCACCACCACCACCACCACCACAAGTCAAAGAAATCCTCCAAGAATGTTCATAGCTTTGATGATGACGATGATGAAAATTATCATAGCTTTGATGATGACGATGATGACGACGACGACGACGACGACGACGATGATGATGGTGTTGGTTATGATTCCAGGGTTCCTCCACATGAATTCATTGCAAGAAGGCAATCAAGGAGTCAAATTTCTTCATTTTCAGTGTTTGAAGGAGTTGGGAGGACACTCAAAGGGAGAGATCTTAGCAAAGTGAGAAATGCTGTTTTGACAAGAACTGGTTTTCTTGAGGAATGATTTTTAATTTATTTCATAAATTATGGTATTGATATTATTATTTAGTGTAAATAATAGTATGTGTTTTTTTAGGGTTTTTGTGATGGTTTCATAGGCCTCAAATTTTAGTTTAGATCAATTCTGTTTTAGGGTTTCAAGTAAATGTTCTATTTTTGTGTAAAAATTGCAATCAATTTATGTGAATTTTTATATTGGTTTTGGTTTCTCTTTTTGCTGTATTATCGATCAAAGTAATAATATCAATTTAGTAATATTATCTATCGGATAAACGATGTTATGGTAATTGTTATTATCATTCTAAAATAATATAATTTAACTTTTTTAACATGAATTTTTTTTTTGTTTAATCTCATTCAATATTATTAATCAATATTATGTTATTGATGAAATAATATTATTAGTCGGATAATCGATGTTACGTTAAGTGTTATTATTGACCTAAAATATTATAATATTAGGTCGTTAATATACATTTTAAACATTCTATTAATAAATCATATGCCAAATGTGGTGAAAGCACTTTTGAAAGAGAGTGGATTCGAATTTTATTGCAAAAAGCCTGTTTTAAATGTGATGTCGTAGGGTTCTATTAAATATTCAGGGTTTGTCCTTGCTATATACACTTCAATTTTGCGACATTAATGACATTTTTGTCCTTGAAGTTTAAGAAAAGTAACATTTGAGTCCAGTAAAATCCGAAAGTGAAATATAAGAGTAATGCTATGCTTACTCACGATCTTACTAACCATTTTACTATCCTTTGTAAATATAATGCATAGTACAGGTACCATACGCATATTACGGGTACTATATGTAATTTTAACAAAAGTAGTAAGGCGGTTAGTAAACTCGTGAGTAAGCATAGTATTATTGGAAATATAATCCCTGTTAGATCACTATCCATTCAGAGGATTTGTGTTTATATCAAAGCTTGACAAATAAAATGTCTATAATGCCCCTATTTTTGTGACTAAAAAGAAAATATTGTATAAAAAAATGTGACGCATGATATAAAGAATAAAATTATAAAAAATGATAAATTAAACTCATACCTACTAAAGACGATCGTCCCTCTATAAGTCACGACGATTGTAGGTGGGGATAAGGAATGTTTTATTTATTTTTTTCTAAACTTTCAATTTTATTTTTTCATGTTATAAATATATGTTATATTAAAAGACAAAAATACCCTTTCCCCGTTTAAGACTATTTCAATTATCTAATCTGGCAAAGAGTGTCACTTTTCAATCTTACTGGACCTAAGGGACATTCCCCAAACCCAAATGTTATTAATTTCAATTTGAGTTTTTAGGTCTAAATTGGGCTCACTATATCCAATGGGCCATGACCCAACCCACAATATCTAAATGGGTCAGGGAGGTTTCAATGGGCCCAAAGTAATCTGCAAGAACCCATCAACTTAGCCCATATGAAAATTGAAAGAGACATACAACAACTCCATTGTTCTCATTCTAAAGTCTGTTTCATTGCCCAAATATTTTAGACCCTAAAAGTCAAAATTTTGATTAACAACAATTTAAGAATGTCTTTTCTGACCTTAAATTCATCATTAATCTTAATTTAAACCTTTTTAAATTGATAAGTAATTGTCCATAAGTGATTTAGCCTTTCTGCTTTTGAGAATCAATGAATTCATGTTTGTTTTAGTTCTAATCTATTTAGTGTTAGCCATCACCTCTAATATATAATTAATTAATTAGGAACAGTAATCATAAAGTAATTGATTAATTTATAATCACTATGTGTTAAATCACATAAATGATCTAAAAAATACTTTTTATGCCCACCCACGTGAATTATAAAATCCCATATAATTCATTAATTTATGAAAATTCTATATATTATCAGTTATACGTTTTTCCATGAATCATTAAATCATAGTTCAATTAACCTAAAGTTCTTACCGATAATTAAGGTTTTTATTGATAATGTTTTCATATTTTATTAATGTTGCTAATTGGGGTGTCTGAGACAGCTTGCGTGCACCTCGACTAATCTACCAGACTCTAAAATTAATTATTAGGTAAACCTTCTAGTACCCACCTCTATTAGCAACCGAGAGGAATCGAATTTAAGATCTTTTAAGTAATACACCCAAAAATTTATATAACCTCACCCAGCCACCTAGGGGTGGTTTCTTAAAATGATATTATCATCTACATAAATTATAAAAGTCTTTGAAAATTACCAGGATACCATTGTCCCATATGAATTGTTAAATCATAGTTCGATTAACCTACTCGACATGATTAAGAATTTCGATATCATAGAAACTCCTAACAAAATATATAATAATTTTTATGCAAATTGAGTGGAGGACAATATGTTTGATTTCCTTGTAACTCAAACCATAAAATCTTTTCGGAACTCAGCCTTATGTCTGGTCGGTCATTCTTTTAAGTTTAGAAATATAATAAAATCATAACATGTGACCACAAATTGAAAAGACAAGACATAAATTTCCAGAAACTCATACTACTTGTTAGAATCCAAAACTTTTGATTTTGATAACTTCACTTCGTTAGATGAAAATTCATACCTCTTGATACTAAGACCCACAGGGCCACAACTCAGACATTAACATCAATCCCTTTTCGGATTCTCCTCATCATCCGCCATAAAACATGTTGTCTTTGGTTATCGACTTATATCGAACTAAAAACATTCGTTCGTTTTGTGTTCTGTCTGTGCTTCTTAAAGGTTAAACATGACTATAATTAATGTCGATGAAACTAGAAATTGCCTCGTCTTAGCTTCGTTATTGACTCTTTAGTTCCTGTGAGTGCTAGATTCCGAACTCTTCTATTTCTTTGATTGATTAGGTATTAGCCTTTGGGATATTCCAGTATTCATTTATACCTTCTTAATTTCTCAATCTCCTCCCCCTTCACCTCCTAATATTGCCCCACTTGCAGCACACATAAATACTGTTCGAATAACTCGTTCGATTACCGTTCGAATAAAAATAATACCAACTTTCTAATCATGCTCTAAAAAACAAATATACAAAAATTATAATTCAGACCTAGTTAATTCAACATTTGAAATAACCAACTCTCTATCTTATTGGATATTTTAAATGCAAATCAATAAAACTCAGTATAAATTAAAAGGACGACCAGTCATAAAGATAGACAACGTATCATATTGTCTGATCGAACGAAGTAAATATCAAAACGAGTTTGGTTGGCGGCATAGGGTCGATAACGGGGGGGACACCAAGGCAAAGGGCGGGGAAGAATTGTTGGCCTGTATAGGAGAATTACAGCACACCAAAGAGATTCCACTGAGCGAGAGGGGACGATGGTTGTCTGAAATATGAGGAGTATTAGAGGAAGAGAGGGGAGAGTAGAGTGTGTGATGGAGGTATGCGCTGGGATCGGGTCTTTTTTTTATGGTAAATGTGCAACATTAACCGTCTGAGGGGTCGAATCCTGGAGGTGTGATAGGAAGATTTTGTTGTGGTAGGGTGTCTCAGATAGGGTTGCTTCAGGGCGTTGGAAGGAAGCAGTGGTAGTGAGATAAGATGTGTGTACGGGTGTTTGAGGCATGGATAGTGGGTAACGTGCGAGTTTAGCGGCCGTTAGACAGGGCCCGGGGGTGAGTGATATTGAGATTTAGTTTTCAGAAAGGGGGCTGTATGGTGCGGGGAGGGTGGTGGTATGGATAGGGCGTGGGGAGTAGTGTATAGGGTGCAGGACTTCTAACCACATCAAATGAAAATAGTGAGAGAGGGGGTGAACAGGCTCACCAATGAAACCAGCATATGAAATGTGATGAATCAGGTGTGGTGAATGGGACAAGAACTGGAGACGCTACGGGGTTGGAGGAAGTGAATACGGGGGACGATGGGAGACAGGTGAACAAAAATAGGGGGGGATGAGATAAGGGTATCGGTAGGGGGAGGCGGGGGAATTAGTGCGGGGGGATGGTAGAGGAGAGTACTATGTCGGAAAAGTGGGAATCACCGCGAGATGGGCGGCAGAGACAATGTGGGACTTAGGGGTGGCCAGTAAGACATAGCGAGAGGAGATGGGAGGACGGTAGAGAGAGAGGGAGGGAGGTGACAGGGGGGGAAGCCAACTAGGTGGGGTAGAGTGGAGAGGAGAAGGCAATCGAGGCCTAATGGTTGAGATGGTACCCTGTAGAAAAGCAGCAAGACTAACCAGGAAAAAAAAAAGAGAGTGTCGAGGAAGGGTTATAGGGTAGGTAAAGAAGGAGGAGAGAGTTACTCGCTAGAGTGCTGAGACTCGAGAGGATAGTCTCAGTGAAGGTAAGGTGTGGGGGGGTGACAGGACGGACAGTGCTGTACAAGGGGACTGTACGTGGGGAGGAGCAACGGAATTCGAAGTGTGGGCGATCCAGGCCAACAAACGACCCATGGGCAAACACGGATCGGACCGAAACAAGCTCGAACGTTTGCGCACGGTGCGACCATTATCGACGAACTCGGGGGCACGACTATGGCGGGGGTGAGGTGCCGGCCTAAGTGCGATGGAGAAGGCGTGTGGCCTAGTGCAGTTTCCTTGGCTCGGTGTGGCCGCGGGGGAGGGGAAAGCAAGGACGGCGAGGGGGAGTAGGAGGGAGAGCTGTACGAAGGCAGGAGTGTGGAAGCATCCGCGAACGAAAGGGAGGAAACCGAGGAGAATAAATGGCATGAGGTAGCGCACGAGGGGAAGGCACATATATCGAAAACGGTGGCCCACGCCACCTTGAAGAAAAAGCCCTATAATTCATGTGCTCAGGTGCGCAATTCGGGGTGTGTTAGCACGAGGGAACGTGGGGGCCAGAAATCAGAAAGCCAGATTGCAGAACCGCGAAGCACGAGGAAAGTGGTCTTAGGGTAGCATGAATTAAGGGGGACCAAGAGGGATGGCAATTGAGTGCCTAAGGCAATAGGAAGTAGCCTGGGAGGCAGGGGACGGGGTCGCCCAGCGACGGGATCTACTAACGGTCCCAGAATAGGCCGGTCAAGCCGACAGAAGCACCCCCGTGACAAATAAGGGAAATCGAACTCCAAGAGCGTGAAAGAGGAAGCCTAAAAAAGATAAGAGCGACCGCACCCCAACCCCGAGGTGGGTGGCGGAAAATGAGATACGGGGACTGAAGTATAAAGATGTGTGGGAATTACCAATGGGAGGCCAGTGGTCGCCATATGAATGTGTTAAATCATGAGG